TATATATTTAACACCATTATAAATGCTGGAGGCAAAGCGGGGTTTGGGGTGGAGGCTGACAGCTCGCGACCCCCCATGTAATAACCTCGTGACTCCCTGAGGGGTCCCAACCCCCAGTTTGAGAATCCCTGGTGTAGACAGTTACTACAATGTGGGGATAGGATCTCCCGTTGGTGTAGGTGATCCACTTCCCCAAGAGGTGGTAGCTAAATTGACAGAAGAATTCTTCTGTTGACCTCGCACTGTCTACACCAGGGGTTAGGTTGGCTTACCTACATCTCTGAGAAACATACCGGTAGCTATGCTGATGTCCGTTCTCAGTGTAGACCAGTTCGCATTGCCGTATTCTTTGGCAGAGAGGGGTAATTGTTATTCCATAGGTTGCTGTTGGAATGATGCTTTTCTTTTCAAAGTCAACTGTATATGGGACAGATCCTGCTAGATGCTGAGTGCCTTTAAGTCCAGCTGTGGTCAAGGGAAGTTGATGGTCCTCAATACCTTATAGGATCTAGCCCCTGAGGCTGTTTAAAATTGTATTGTCCTCTTTGCAGTTCTCTTTTCTAGCATGTCTTCTGTGTGATATATTTGCAGCTCACACCAATTGAGCCCTGTGTGACTTCAGAGCTAGGATTGCCAACTTTCTAATTGCAGAAAACTGAAAATCTTTGCCTCACCCCTGCCGCGAGGCCCCACCCTTGTCCCGCCCCTTCTCTGAGGTCCTGCCCCCACTCACTCCATTCCCCCTTCCCTCCCTTGCTTGCTTTCCCCCACTCTTGCTCACTCGCTCAATTTCACTGGGCTGGGGCCAGGGATGAGGCATGTGGGATGCAGGAGGGGGTTGAGGTGCGGGCGGGGAGGGAGGGCTCTATACTGTGGTTGGGCATGAGGGGTTTGGGGTGCAGGAGGGGGCTCTGGGCTGTGGGGTGGGGCTGAGGGCTTTGGAGAGTGGGAGAGGGCTCTGACTGTGCATTTGAGCTCTGGGGTGGGGCCAGGGATGAGGGATTTGGGGTGCAGGAGATTGGGACTGAAGGGTTCGGAGTGCAGGAGGGGGCTCAGGGCTGGGGCAGGTGGTTAGGGTGTGGGAGAGGGTGCAGGCTGCAGGCTCTGGGAGGGAGTTTGGGTGCAGGAGGGGGTTCTGAGATGGAGCAGGGGGTTGAGGCACTGGAGGGGGTTCAGGGTGCAGACTCCAGGCGGTGTTGACCTCAGGCACCCTGGGGACAGAGGAAGTCCGTATGGCTCCCGGGAAGTGGCAGCATGTCCCTCCAGCTCCTAGGCGGAGGGGCATCGAGGGGCTCTGTGCGCTGCCCCTGCCCGCAGGCGCCAGCCCCATAGCTCCCATTGGCTGCGGTTCCCGGGAGCTGCACGGAGCCAGTCACAGAGCCTGCCTGCCCCACTGTGGCCAACCAGACTTTTAGCGGCTATGCTGACCGGAGCCGCCAGGATCCCTTTTCAACTGGGCGTTCCAGTCAAAAACCAGACACCTGTCATCCCTAGCCAGAGCCTGGGGCAACTGACTGGGGCTCGTGCTGGAATCCAGGCCCTGAAACCCCACAAGGGGGAGGGTCTTAGTACCCAGGCTCCAGCCCCAGCCTGAGCATCTACACTTCTGTTTTTAGCCCTGCAGCCTGAGCCCCGTGAGTCTGAGTCAATTGAGCTGGGCTCTGAGACTTGGTGCCACAGGTTTTTCTTTGTAGTGTAGACAGACAGACCCCAAGTGACATTCTACCCTTCCCCCAACACAACGTATGTGTTAATGTTAACTTGGCTGAACAGACATGTCCCTGGGAAACTTACTGATATTGAATGGGAATTCCCAGGTAAATGCAATGGTGTGGCTGAGATTTTACATGCGCATTAGCTAGACAATTCAGCGCTGGATTTCCCCCACTAGAAGCAGTGAGTGCAGTATGGGGTAGTGCGCTTAGAACCACAGGGTTAGGAGGGACCCAAGGGTCATCTAGTCTAACCCCCTGCCAAGATGCAGGATTTGTTGTGTCTAAACCATCCAAGACAGATGGCTCCAGCCTCCTTTGAAAACCTCCAGTGAAGGCACTCCCACAACCTCCCTAGGCGTCGTTCCATTGGCCGATTGCTCTTACAGATACGAAGTTTTTCCTGAGATTTAATCTAAAATTGCTGTGCTGTAGATTGAATTTATCACCTTTTGTCCTGCTCTCTGTGACAAGAGAGAACAACTTTTCTCCATCTTTCTTATGGCAGCCTTTCAATATTTGAAGACCGCTATCATGTCCCGCCTCAGTCTACCCTTTTCCAAACTAAACCTACCCTGTTCCTTCAGCCTTTGCTCATATGACTTGCATTCCAGCCCTTTGAGCATCTTTGTCGCTCACCTCTGGATCCTTTCTATGCATTGGTGACCAAAACTGGACACACTACTCCAACTGAGGCCTAACCAGCACCAAGTAGAGCGGTACTATCACTCCCATGCTATGCCTCTGTTAATGCAACCAAAATTGCATTTGCTTTTTTTGCCAGAGCATCACATTGCTGACTCATGTTGAGGTTGTGATCCACCACAACTCCCAGATCTTTCTCAGCAGCGCTGCTGCCAAGCCAGTTATCCCCCATTCTGTATTCGTGCATTTGGTTTTTCTTCCCTAAGTGTAGCACCTTACATTTGTCTTTGTTGAATTTCATTTTGTTGTCTTTAGCCCAGTTCTCCAATTTATCAAGATCCCTCTGAATTTTAGCTTTATCCTCCAAAGTGTTGGCAGCCCCCCCCGCCCCATTTTGTGTCATCTGCACATTTGATCAGTATGCGCTCTATTCCTACATCCTGGTCATTGATACAGATGTTAAACAACACCGGACCCTAGGTAACCCATTCCAGTGCTTCACCACCCTCCTAGTGAAATAGTGTTTCCTAATATCCAAACTAGACCTCTCCCACTGCAACTTGAGACCATTGCTCCATGTTCTGTCATCTGCCACCACTAAGAACAGCCTTGCTCCATCTTCTTTGGAACCCCCACTTCAGATAGTTGAAGGCTGCTATCAAAGCCCCCCTCACTCTTCTCTTCTGCAGATTAAATAAGTCCAGTTCCCTCAGCCTCCCCTCATAAGTCATGTGCCCCAACCCCCTAATAATTTTTGTTGCCCTCCGCTGGACGTTCTCCAAATTGTCCAAATCCCTTCCGTAGTGTGGCGACCAAAACTGGACACAATACTCCAGGTGTGGCCTCACCAATGCTGAATAGTGGGGAATAATCACTTCCCTCGATCTGCCTGCAATACTCCTACTAATACAGCCCAATATGCCGTTGGCCTTCTTGGCAACGAGGGTACACTGCTGACTCATAACCAGCTTCTCATCCACTGTAATCCCCAGGTCCTTTTCTGCAGAACTGCTGCTTAGCCAGTCGGTCCCCAGTCTGTACCGGTGCATGGGATTCTTCCGTCCTAAGTGCAGAACTCTGCACTTGTCCTTGTTGAACCTCCTCAGATTTCTTTTGGCCCAATCCACCATTTTCCCCATATTCACAGAGCCAGTTATCTCATCACAGAAGGCAATCAGGTTGGTCAGGCATGACTTGCCCTTGGTGAATCCATGTTGACTGTTCCTGATCACCTTCCTCTCCTCCAAATGCTTCAAAATGGATTCCTTGAGTACCTGCTCAATGATTTTGCTGGGGACTAAAGTGAGACTGACCGGTCTGTAGTTCCCCCGGTTCTCTTTCTTCCCTTTTTTAAATATGTTTTTTTTAATATGCTAACCCTAACCCTTTGCCCTCCTCTCAATTAAAAACATTAACAACTTCCTGAAATGGTAAAAAACAGAGTATTTGTTATAGGCCCCACCTCCTCAGCAGCCAGGTGAGAGGGACATGAGTGTTTTAAACAGCATTAATGTGTCAAGGAAATAATGTGAGGGTTTCCTTTCAGACATGGCAGAGCAGACCCATTCGCTGATGGGGCTAGCTGGGTGCATGCCAGCTCCGACTGTATTTTTTTAAATGTATTATTTAGGTGAACTCAAATAGCTTTTCCTTATTCTCCCCTCCTCCTGAGGATCTCACTGATACCATTGGGCAGTTTGGCCCTGAGCGTATTTCCTCTGGTTTCACTGTTATCCGTCCATGCTTTGTAAAGTGGGTGATTATTCAGGAGAGAAATATCCATCCCAAAGAGCTGCTGCCATCGTACCCCATCAGCCCTCAATTGCTAGGGCCAAAATCCCCTGTCCCTGCTCTTTCTGTTGGGCCCAAAAAGCAAAACCGCTGGGCCTGCGTGGTGCAAGATTTGGCAGTAGTGTCAGTGTGTTTGTGTCTCTCACATGCTCTGCTCCACAGAGGCTGTATCTGAGATACTATTGAAGGGGTTTCCTGGGGCAGGATGAGGGTTTGGTCAATGAATCCTTGGCTCTCTAGAGCCACTGGCTGCCAAGAATGAGGTTCACAGTGGAGGCTGCTGCCACCCTTTAGTGTCTTAATTGATGCTCACAGCTTGGAATTACACTCAGTCTCACCCCAGCACTGCAGTCCTTACTCGATCAAAACTCCCAGAGAAAATACACCAATGATTATGGAAATACTCCGCTCCCACAAGCCCCTGCACAAACACTAACTCATGTTAGTGACAGGGCAGACGGCATTTATGGTGGAGAAGGGAGTGAGATCAGGGAGGCCGTGTGCATGGCTCACCTCTGACATATGTTTTATGCTGGTGTAACTCCATTGACTTCGGGGGTGTTATTCTGACTTGTTCCAGTGTGAGAGGAGAATCTAGCAGTAGAGGTTTAAAAATTAAAGCCCTGTAAACTAGAACGCTCCCATGGGTCTCCCAGGGTATCTGCAGCCTTGCACCTTGTATCTTCATTTGCTCTTGAGCAAAGTGACTGTAAATTGCCCATTCTGAGTCCGTGGAGTCTACACTCTGGCCATGCAGCAGGTGAAAATTGGGCCTCGTACGTGTTGTTGCTGAGGACTTTTAATTCCAAGGATTTTTTTGGCTTTTAAAAATCGCACTGTTGCTTATTCCAGATGAGCTAAGAAATGATGTGAGGATGCCATCCAGCAAGGTTCATCAATCCTTAGGGCCCTCCAAGATGCCTGAAGGATTCCAGAGCAAAGTTGTGGCCCCTCGTAATCCTAAACTTGTCAGAGAGGAAGAAAAGGCTGTTACTGTAAGTACCTAACACATGGCTAGAATATCCGATCAACATCAGCGGTGGGGAGGGACCCCATAGTGCCAGTTCCCGCCCCCCACCTTTCCCACAAAGAGGTGGAGGAGGTAATCCCCCCTTTTGTTTTGTCTTCTGACTTCAGGAAGCCACTTCTATGGGATCCAGGATCAATGGATGAGGAAGGGGTGGGTAAGAGGAAAGGAGTGGGAGGATTCTCATCAGCCCTCACCACAGACCTTGCAGTAAAGGAGAACCCCAGCACAACAGCCAGCCATCTCCTCAGAGTTTAAACTGGAAGCAGGTCCTTAACTAGTGGAGTGATTCCGGTGATTGGTGCAGTAGGAACTTGCTATGCAAGCCATAGCTTATGAGACTATTCCTGTTAGGCTCAACTCATCCCACCCTGCTGCAAGATCCAGCAGCCCTGGGGAATTTGCCTGGTGTAGGGGCTTCTCCAGCTGGCACCAAGACACCATAATGTCCCTACACCTATCCCTGCACTAGCCCTTGGGGAATGTCAAGGATGATCTGGGAGAGAAGGGAGCCTGGCCTGAGTGCCACTGCACTCCAGCTATTCCTGGCTGATGTAGTAGCCCCTAAGTGCCTTTGGCAGCTGGGCATAAGTTTGGGTAGTCTTCAGGCTCCTGCAATCTGTGCCCGGGGTTGAACCAAGTCCAGAATAGAGGAACACAGAAATGACATCATGCCAGCTTGCCCTCTCATGAACCCTGTGCCAACCTCAGTTCCAGTGCAGGGATCCACTGGGCCACTGACTTCATGTCATGTGAAGTGAGGACTAATCATGTTATAAAGGGCTTGTAGAGTCAGGGGTCAAACCCAGCCCCTTTTACCCACATGTTTAGTGAATGGGGTTTGCTGTTTGAGATAAGGTGAGCAGGATTCAGCCCAATGCTAGCTCATACCATGGAAACAGCTCTTTAGAGCTCCAGCAAGAAGGCTATAAGGACAAAGCAAGATCAGACAACTGCTGATTAAAATTAGATGATCTAAACTTGGGCCATTCCTCTTTCCTTGAACCTTGTCGCTCCATTTCTTTTATGCTTTGCCTTGACAATTCCCTCAGAGAAGTTGTCCCTACATGAGCCTTTGCGTGAGTATTGTGTAAAATGGTAGCCATGGGATTTTACAGGCTGTTTTCCTTTCAAGTCACGTGCTTGAGCCAGCAAAGTTAAAGGAACACCCCCCCGCCCCCAACAAATCAAATTCCTCAGCCACATGTAATTTCCAATCATGGCTGACAGAGAGACAAACAGGGCGGAATCTCTCAGGTAGCGCAAGTATATTCCGCTCGGTATAATTAATTTACCAGTTTTAAATATTTCAGCAGGGAACTTAGTGGAGTTCCAGGACTGCCCTAACGGCTGAGAACACAAATTATTTATCAGCGGCACTGTAACAAGAAAAGCCATTTATATAGCTCTGGGTCCTGTTGTTTTGAATTGCAGCTGACTCCATCTGCCTTCCTAAAGGAGATGTCTCTTACTACGGAGCAGAAGCTGGCTAGTACTCATGAGATGCGGCCACCTCGGATTATTGAGCTTTTAGACATGAGTGAAACCTCCCATCAAAAGGTAGCATTCCCTGCCCTTCCTTCCAGCTCCCTTTTTCTTTCTATTTGATGTGATGTTTACAGTGATGCAGTACATGGGATTCAACTTGTTTAAATCCTGCACACACTGGGCCTGACTGTCCTCTCAATCACTGATTTCAATGGAGCTACTCCTAGTTTACACTGCTGTAAGTCAGAGGGGTCTCAGGCTCCATGTCTTTTGCGGTCAGAGGGCCAGATTCTGATCTTGTTTCCACCAGTATGAATGCAGAGAATTCAGTTGAAATGAATGGAGTTTGTCTGGATTTTCATTTCTTCTTCTTTGAGTGATGATCTCTATATGTATTCCAATCATGGGTGCACGTGTGTGCCATGCGCCAGAGCTGGAAGGTTTTTATAGCAGTGACTGTTGACTCGCATGTGCATCATGCGTTTCCCCATGCTCTCTAGCATTGGAACCGGCGGCGCAGTGTCCATCACCGGTGGTGAGTGCGCCTTCCAGCACTTCCCATGGACAGGACCTGGCAGTTGTGGACAGGCCGAGGCATGAGAGCAGAAAGCACTCTCATCGGTATAGAAGCAAGTCCCCATCGAGGGCAGCATTTCCTCCCCGAGCCGTGCCAGGTCAGGTGACATGTTGTGTGCTGACACTGCTGCACTTATACCCAGGCTTTCCCGTCTTGAGGGTGAGAGTAAGAAGAAAAAGGATCCAGCAGCCCTGTCGATGGCCCCGGTACCCACCAGCCCTGTGCCATCTCCTGCATTTGCACCGCCTATCCCACTGCTATTTCTGAGACCTTCAGTGCAGCTGTCTCCAGGGACCCCACCACGGTCTTCAGCAGCCTCTAGAGACACTCCTCGGACCCCTGGCGGTCTGGAGCCCTTTCTCTCCATGGAGGAACTGGAGCTTCCCATACCCACCTTTGCCACTGCTCTCCGGCCCATCACTGTGGAGACAAGCTGGTCCTGCTCCAGCCGGAGAGGATCATGCCCACACTACACCATGGTCTGTCCGCACTGCTGGCTCGCCCGCTGCCGAAGGCATCTTTGGACTCCGAGGGCTTTTCTGAACCGGAGCTGACATTTTCTCCAATATCCAGGCACAGCTCTGACTCTTGCTCCCAACTGCCTCCACTACTCCTCTGCAGTGTCATAGTTTCACATTGCCAACTATCAGGCTCTGCTGGCGAAATACAATTTTAACACCTACACTTGCAGAGTTCAAGGACAATCTACCCCAAGACCAGCAGCAGCAATTGCAGGCGCTGGTGGATGAAGGGCATCCTTGTAGATGAAGTCAGCCTCCAAATGGTGGTCAATGCATCTGACACATCCTCGTGCTCACTTGCCAAAGGCGTCCTCATGCACTGCGAGTCCGGGTACAGTCCTCTGGTTTCCCTCGAGAGGTACAAATGACCACAGAGGATCTCCCCTTTTATGAGGACAAGTTGTTCTATGCTAAGACTGACGAGCACCATTACTCGTTAAAGGACTCGAGGGCTACGCTGGGGATCTATACTCCAGCCGTCAGCACAAACAGCAGCTCCAAGAATTCCACCCCCGGCCATATGTACCCTACCCGCTGTACTAGCAGCGGCACCAGGAAGCCCCACGCCAGCACCACCAGTCCCAGCGTCAGCGACCCATGACCTCAGCCACAGCCATTTCCTCGACTCTCACCCACCGGCAACCCAAGGCACGCTTCTGATGTGTCAGTTGAGAGCTGCGAACCCTCCCCCTTGCCATCCGTGGCCCCACACATCTTCTGTGGGGGCCGTCTTGCCCTATTCACCCACAACTGGGACAAGATCACCATGGACCATGGGGTCCTGGAAATAATCCACCATGGACACTCCATAAAATTTCTATCATTTCCCTCACCCCACCCCCACCCAGACACCTCCAGGGGACTCTCCCCATCAGTGCCTTCTCCAACAAGAGGCCGAAGCTCTTCTTGCAACGGGCGCCATAGAGACTGAAGGCTTCTACTCCCCTTACTTCCTCATCCCCAAGAAGGATGGAAGGGCTGCCCCATTCTAGACCTGTGCATACTAAATAGCTTTATCCGAAAGTCCAAATTATGTGTGGTGATGCTGGCTTCTATTATCCCTTCCTCTCCCCCCCACTGGGGCCTGGTTCTCAGCCCTTGACATGAAGGATTGTGTTCAGGTTACGGGGAACCAGATGAACTAATTCGGATGGGGCCGGGCACTATTTCTCTCACCAGGCGTCAGGCCAAGGTGAGGATACTGGGAATCAGGCAGGTCACAGTACATAGGGCTGGGTGAGCATTCCAGGCTGCAGCCAGGTAGAGCCCAATTGTGCAGATAACTTCCAGTGCCTTCCTTTGGGTTTAAACAGGAAGCTCTGACCAATCAAATGTCCCATTGTTTCTCCAGTCAGGGCCTAGGGGAGGCCTTCCTGATATAGGTTCAGGTTTCATGGTCTCTCCGTAGGTTGTTTAGTACCAAGCTGCTGGGTAAGACAGGGAGGTGAACCCAGGTTGGAGACCTTCAGGGTCATGATACCATGGAGATTGATACCTGGGTCATGATACCATGGAGGTTGCACAGGGGAATGCCCCTCTGACAGCTTGGATGCATGCTCAGCAGGATAAACATTTAAACTTGGTTTCTTGCTCACTATGTAATACCTATTCCAAGAGGATACATTACTGAAGTGTTCTACAGAGCAGAAAATCCCCAGCCGAAACCTGTAACAAATTGGTTGAGAACTATCCTAAATAGCACAGGAAACTTGGAACATATCCAAACTCCAGGGACCAGAAATAGTTGACAGCACACACTGACAATCCTCCCCCACCTGCGGAGGAAAACCTGGCCCCACTACAGTCAATGGCAAGACTCCCATTGACTTCAGTGGGGCCAGGATTTCATCACGCAAGCCTTCTCTGTCTAGACCAGTGGTTTTCAACCTGTAGTCTGTGGATCCCCAGACCATGTCTAAGATTTCCACAGGGGTCTGCACCTCCATTTGAAATTTTTTAGGAGTCCACAAATGAAAAAAGGTTGAAAACTACTGGTCTAGACTCAGATGTCCCTTGAGGGTCTTGGCGCAGGATGCCTCCTTATTAGAATGTGGAGATGGTATCTGCCTAGACAGATTAAAATATTTAGGGCTAACCTAAGAATCTCCTCCTAATATGTGCTGCTTTGCCCCACAACCCCCTGCTCTTTGTGTCAGTGCACGTTCCTAGACATGCTCAAAGAACAGCGTGAAAGAACACAGGCTTGAAAGGACAAAGTTGAGTACTCCTTGCTCCGGTTTAAAACTCACCAGAAAAGATTATGTAACCAAAGTTCTGTCCTCATTCAAATCCTCCAGTGACACCAAGGTAATGTGAAATCATATAGCCTTGTCCTCTGTCATCTTTTGTTGAACTCTGAACAGCTGCTGCATTGCTTCTCTCGGTCGCCTTCCTTACTGACAGTAAAACTCTCTGCCCTCTAGTCTCCTGGGCCAGATCTTCAAAGGCATTTAAGTACCTTACTCCCATAGGATCCTCCCAGACCCTCAAAGGCATTTAGGCACATAACTTCCATGGGATCCCCAAAGGCATTTAGGTGCCTAATTCCCATGCCTTACTCCTATGCAAGTTAGGCATTTTAAATATCTGAGGATCTGGACCCTGATGTCTTTATATCCAGGTGAATGCAGGCTATAAAGTCAATGGGCAACAATCATCTCTAGAGTATCTCCATTGGGGTCCTCTGTAAATTCATTGATCTCAGTTGTTCCACAGCTCTTTTGGGGAGTGTCCACTGCAAACCTTATATAATTGCTTATAGAGATGGTCTAGCTTGCATCCTGCTAAAGAGCAATGCAGAATTTGCATTCATGACCCCATTCCTCCCAGCATTTCTGTGTCTACTTACTGAGTGTCTCTTTACATCTTTAGTTCTCTTCAGTTGACCTGGAGCAGAGCTTGTTTCAGCCCTTCCCATCAGAGGTGGTATTTCAGAACTATGCCCCTTGTGAGATCTATGAAGTCCCGCTGATTCTGAGGAACAATGACAAGGTAAGAGCCATCACTTGGACCTTTACCAGTCTATGGTGTTGTCTAATTTCTGTAGGTTGTGTACTGCACTGATCACCGTGTTATCAGCTCAGTGTTGGAGCACGACATACAATAAGATGCTTCTGATAGCTATAGTTATAAAGTGACTGTAACCTACCAGCTAAATTTGTGCACCTAAGTGCCTGATGCTTCAGTGTGTAGCACACACATTTTTCTGCATCTTAAAACTCTGATTTGTTGATGCAAATGGATCTTGCACCCCTATCCTGGGCACTTAGATGTTTAACTACTGCACTGGAAGGCATAAATGCCAGTTGACATTGAAAGGCTTCATGTGAAGGTGTGAGCCTGAAAATCAAACTTTCAGACTGACTAGGTCTAATCTTTCTCATTTGTGTGACCTGCTTTGTGACTGTGTTGCCTAAGGGGAGTAGTATTTGGATTAGGATCCAAATTAGGTTTACTCTGGGTTAAGGGGCCAAAGCTGAGTTAGGGCAAGGTTTGTGTTTGATGGTGCCAAAATTTCATGAATTGTTCTGAACCAGGGTCCAAATGTCGCTCTGGTGGAAGGAGGTGCAAGCTCATTGTCTCCATTGGGGGCTGTTCCTTTGACACCAGGACTGGAACAGGCCCCGGGACTGGGAGAGGAGTGTCTTTCTGGTATTTGGATCTACAACCCAAGCCAAAGGAGCAGGTTCAGTGTGGGGATAGGCTCAGAACCGCCTTTTCTCCTGAAATCCAAAGGGAACCCGTTCTTAGGGTTTGGGTTTGGCTTGTCCTTGCTGTAGCTGCCCCGCACAGTGAGAAAATACCATTTATAAAGTGGTGGTAAACAGCTCCCTGCTTCCTTGAGGTAGGCCCTTATCCTTTGATGTGCCAAGTGCCCATTTTTATGACTTTTTAAAGCTCACCTCTTCCTTTTCAAGGCTAATTTTGTCCTCCTTTTTGGTCCCCTTTGTTGACATGGGCCTTGACAGGAAGTGCAGGACATCTTAGGCTTGCCATGTGATGAACTGAAAGAAGAGTTTCCTGCTTGCTGATAACACTCACCCATACACCTCTCATTCCATGGACTCTGCTTAGTCTCTGCTTGAACCACACAGAGGGGCCTTGTCTCAACCCAGGGAAGATGGAAGTCTTGGGAGGGGTTCTTGGCTCGCTCCTCCTTTGTGTCCCCGCTCATGGAGGGGTCTGTTCCAAAGTAGTTAGCCCGATTAAGAACCACTTTTGGTGATTTCCTTCCTTTGGAGAGCTATGTTTCTAAGGTGGTGCCAGAGTGTTCCGGGCTTCAGCCTGGCATGCTGTGGCCTTCTCTGTCCTCCCATGGCCAGGGAACAACAGCACAAGCCCATGTGGTCAGAAGGCTCAATTCCTGCCAGTAATTTCCTCTTTGCAGCGTTCCCAGCAGGACTTCTCTGCTACTCGCAGCTAGCGTGCAGCATGCCTGACTGATCAGCCGTACTCTGACTACACCCACCACATGTTCCCTGCCTGCCTACTAAGTGACGGATTGGCATGAACCAAGAGCATCCTGGCTCTGGTCAAGACCTTTTTTAACCTTGTGCTTTAGATGCCAACATTCTTTTTGGGGTTCCATGAGCCCACAGGGGGTAGGCAGGTTACCATGCTGCTGTGTGGTGACTCCTAGGGTGTCTCAGCTCATCTTCCCCTGGTCTGCAAATGCTCCGTGTTGACAGGTGTCTTCTGTTTTACTCAAGAATGGCCACAGTGGGGCCCCAGCCCTGGTGTCCTCATCCCTGCTTGTTAATGTCAGGATTGTTCACTTGGATTGTGTCTTAAAATAGGTGATTTCCTTCGCGCTTATTCCCTCTCTGTAATTAATATGATCTCTTCACATTGATGTAATCCGTTTACCAGCCTCTCTCTCTGCATCATTACTCAACTGGGGACGGATGAGTCAGCCTCAGCTCACATAGGCTCTCCCTCCCCTTTGAAGTGTTCCCGATTTGTACGGGGCCAAATCACTGCGCCAGCAATGCACCTCACTGAATGACTCCGAAGTCAGCTGATCCTACTGGATGATGTGGAGCTGCTGGGGGTGGGGAATTAGGCAGAGGAGCTCCCTTCCCCTGCCCATAGCAGCCCTATCTCAATCCTGACTCTGTCTGTTAGTCCGTGATGTGGCAGAAGTCCGTGCCACCCTGGGGCTGCCTCTCCTGCATGGGGAAGGGAGAGTTCCAGGTATTGTGTTACAGGAGAGGCTGGGTTGGTGGGAGTTGCTGGAGGAGATTCTCCCATACCCTGTGATTTCCTTCGGGGAGATCTTCCTCCCAATGGCCTCTTCTCCTCTCCCCACTGACAATCCTGTTTCAGAGCTGTGTTTCTTGAGCCATGTGGCCTGTTCATGCCCCCTGGCTGTCACTCACCTGGGAAGGAACCTGTCTGCTTCCCTCTGGGACAACAGCATAGCACTGCCTACCTGACGTCTTCCCCCACCACCCGATTGCCAATAGAAATAGGGCTGGGCTTAGCCTATGACTGGTCCAGCGCAGGATACCCAGACATGCTTGTGGCTGCAAAGCCTCCCCATTGCGTGTAGTTGCTATGCGCTCTGCTCCCCAGACTCTCTCGCTGGGCCCAGAACTGACCCACAGGTTGTAATGTTAGTCTCTTTTGAGAGGTGAGTTAGTAACATATGCAGTCTCTGCATTGAACTGACATGTCTTATCAATCACTAAGAGCAAGTACAGGGACTGATTCCCCTCTCACATACACTGGGGTAAAATGAAATCAGTCCAGAACTGCTCATTGAAATCAGAAATGGGACTGACTTACCGGCAGCAGCAGAATGCCTTTTAATTGCATGCTTATGAACAGATTTCAGAAGCCCTCTCAGTGCCACGCCTTTTCTGAGGGGAGTGGCTCTGTTTTACCTTCAGAGCGCTCACACAGTGTCTGCCTTTGCTTGAAATAACTTTGTGATCATTTTGAGATTTCCTTGAGAGGAGTGGGAGGGGGGAGGCAGTTGAAAGATCTCAGCAATTTTGAACCATTGATTTATAATCAGGGCTGAAAAGGGAGAAAACGAGGACCTGAAATTTCAGCAGAGAATAAGCTTGTTTGAAGGAGGTGTATGCCGGAAAGAATCCCATGGGAAAAGATAGTGAGAAGGAGGGAGAAAGTGAGCTGAATTAGAAATTTGTTAGTCTCTAAGGTGCCACAAGTCCTCCTGTTCTTCTTTTTGCTGAATTAGAAAGTGTTCCAGGATGCCCCAGGGTTTTGTTTGACAAAGTGTGAAAAGTAATCAGAGATCCAGTCCTGTAAGGAAAAGGCATATTAGTGATAAACCTTCAGGTGCAAAGAGGATGGAAAAGTGTATAGGAGAGAGTGGAAAGGAACAAATCCTTCTCCAGCTCTAATTGT